ACTGGGATTATACAAATTGTAGAATAGATAAACAAGATTACACTGTATAGCACAGGGAAATATACACAAAATGTTATGATAACTCACAGAGAAAAAAATGTGGCAATGAGTGTGTATATGTCCATGAATGACTGAAAAATTGTGCTGAACACTGGAATTTGACACAACATTGTAAAATGATTATAAATCAATAAAAAATGTTAAAAAAACAAAAAAAGAGCCTCATGGGCAAATAAATTCTGGTATAATCATACAATGGAATAATACACAGCAGAGAAAATGAACTACTGGTAATCGCATGACACCATTGAATCTCACAGCACAATCTGAGTGAAAGAATTCAGACATAAAAAAGGAGATAGTGTATGATTTCAAATATTTTAAATTCAAAACTAGAAAAACCAATCTTACAGCAACAGAGCCTTAAACAGTGGTTGCCCTTGGGTGGAGGTAGGGGATTATTTACTGGGAGGGGCACAAGAGAAGTTTCAGGGGAGGGTGTGGGATCCCATCTAGTGGAACGGAAATGTTCTTATGAGTGGTGCTCATATGGGTTATATGTAAAAATGCATCAAGTTATTTGCTTAAGATTTTACAGTATCTAAGTTACATTTCAATTAGATAAAAAAGAGCATCCACCTCCCTTTGATGGCGTTGCCCATTGAGATTATCCAGTTTCCACTGTTGACACCAACCATTACAATGACCTACTCCCTTTACTCTGAGTCCTGCTTGATGAGCCACTTCCTGTGGCTGAATTCTTCCAGGTGCAGATTTTCCTTCTGGAGCAAGTGCTGGCTGGTTGCAAAGCACCCAGGTTCCCTTGGCCGAGGCATTCCAATTTGCCGATTACCCCCACTGAGTTTCGTTAACAAGAGTTAGCCTGCCCCACTCTGCTTACCCCTGGAATGGCTAGAACTGTGTTTCTGAGGCTGAACCAAGTCACAGGCCCCCAAAGGGGTTCTTTCTCCCTGAATCTTAGTCTCTCACTCCACAAAGCCCAAGAAGTCACTGCCAGCAACAGCATCTTCTGATTCCAAACGCAACCAAGCCAGAGCCTGAGTCAAGAGGCACCATGACATAATCCCTTCATTCAGTCTATCAAACAACAAATGCTTCAAGCCAGCCACTGTGCTGGATGCTAGGGAGAGTGTCATGAAAAGCAAACAAGGACCAGCTCTGAAAGAGCATTGTTGGGGAGACGGATGGCAAGCAAGGAAACAGAAATGAACAGGATGGTTTCAGTGTGTGGTAAGTGCTAAGACAACTCTAAGGCAGGGGGACATGACAAAAGGAGCAGTGGGCAGAGGAGGGATCTGTCGGAAAAAGCAGACAATCTGGGACTAA